CGAACTGCGTCCTCAATTCCCGTCTCTTAGTCTGCGGGAAATACTTATCGAAGAAAAGATTCTTGAACATGTCCCAACTCATACTGTCAATATCATGTGTGCTAGTCATGGTCTTCCACCATGTTGCAGCGTTGCTAACGAACTTATACGTAGCTAAAGTGATCTTCAACCGATCATCAGGTACATCTATTGCCCTGAATTGCTTTTCAACTTCATCCAGATCCATCACTTTATGTAGTCCTCAAACACGGTTCTACAAAAGCAACTACACGATCAGAACAAGGATACATGAAGTAGCTCAATCCATGAGCTACGATGCTCATACCATTCGTTCGATAAGAACTAAACATTCAGAAACACAGAAGTGATCAAACCCCTCCCCTACATAGGCTAGAACCCTCCGCAACCCAACTCCGCACTACCACGAAACCTCAAACTCGTCAACAACGAAACCACTAAGTCATGCATACATCCACTCTTTAGTGGATGAACAACCACAACATGAACCTAAGTGTGCAACTACGTTCTAAAACAAGATCATATCTATCGTGCTCCAAATGAAGTTATCACATCCCATACAATATGCCTTACATAACTCATGCTCAATTACTTGTAATAAGAACTTATATAACATGCTTTTAATAATACTAAACACTTAACAATTAAGCACATGGTCAATTAAGCATACTTTCATCAACAGTAACAATCAACAAGTAAACACGTAGCAAATCAAGCATGCTTTAGTCAAATTTATTCATACAAGTAGTTGCACATAAACATTTAGCATTAACACTTAGGCATGCTTCCACATTCATCAAATAACAACAAATCATATTTTTTCTTTTTCTTTTTTTTTTTCTTTTTTTTTTTTTTTTAACATTCGACAATTAATAAACCCAATGAGTAATAAACACATAAGCACGTACCAAGTATGGTCATGAAATAAACATATTAATATTTAAGGACATAAGCACGTAACAATAAGTCATGCTTTTAAAATAAACAACTAATAACCACATAAGCACACTATGCCATCAAGCCCAATTCTAACTTTACTAGGTTAACCCTACCCATCGTCCATAGGTTTTCGAACCTAAAGCTCTGATACCAAATTTGTAACAACCCAAACCGGGGGTCCAGATCGCTAACCGGGTCATTACCTGAACCCGAGGACATGCTAGGGGTAATATGGTCATTATACAATGTGAAAGGATAATCCTTCCCTAAACTAGTGCAATGAGGTTTAAAACAACTATTCTAGTCATTCCATGAAACTCGGTGAAGTTCTATGGTCACCATATATGATTTCCTAAAAATGCCCTTACCGGTTCAAGGTGAATTCCGACACTGTCCCACTAAAACCACTACAACTCTCAACATGAATGGAATTTGAAGATAAGGTTAATCTCATTGGAAAGCCAACTCAAAATCCTTGAAAATGGGCTCAAGAATGACCTATTGGGGTTTAAAACGAAGAAGTTATGACCGTCCGAAGTTAAGTGGTCAAAGATGATAAATCTGTGAAGGCAAAAATATACACTGGAGGGCTAGAACCGGTTCCCAATCTTGCTACTGGTTCCACATGGACAGAATGCCACAATGCAAACCAAAAACACCCTTAAACCGGTTCCACAAAAGCTGAACCGGTTCCTAAAGTCCAGAAACCTGAAAATAGCCCAGAAAACTTAAAAATGTACACTTATGCCTATAGGCACCCCTTTGGTCCCTAGTGACCTTACCTATAGTCCAAACCCATCCCAAATCTTGCAATAACAGTGTAAAAACATAGTTAAACCCCGTACCTTCAATTAAACCGAGTATAAGCCCAATACATCATTTAAAGATTGAGTCATACAAAATCTCATTTTATACAACTTCAAAAGAATTGAATACAAGACTGAGGCCTCCATAGCCAAAATTTTACATAGCTTTACTACAATTAAAATGGAATGAATTCCTAACTACATCAATGCCCACGGATGCATATCATTCCCCGGCTCACCTCCGAGTTCCTGAAAATGTTAATAATAATAGGGTGAGCTCAACAGCTCAGTAGAGAAAAGCCTAAATCACATTTCTAAAAATCCCGTGAGCCACAACCAAAGAAAAGGGAATCAAGAAAAAAGGATCATGGGATTTTTGAGTCATGCCAATCATACATACATTTCACCAATTCATAACTCTACCATCAAACATGAAATGCAAATGCTCCTCTATTCCTTTCCAACCCAACCTCATAAAACCTTCTTAACCATCACTTTGGCTCACCACACAAACCACCATCTCATTCTCTAACCTTCCTTCCCACATCAACCTTCATCCTCTTAACTCACCCCCATGCCAAGAATATGTATGTCATACAACCATTCATTAATACACAAATTATAATTTACATCAAAGTTATCATATCAAACATCCAAACATAAAAATTTATCACATAGATCATACTTTCACATTTTCTCATAGAAAATAACATGCTTGGCACAATACAAGAAACTATCATTTTCTCATCCCACAACAATTGAATCATCACAACTCATGCTTAACATTACAACCAAAATTTACAAAAAAATAAACATGCTACACAACCTCAAAAGTATCATGCAAGAAGGCATATAAAAACTCACTAAAACCATAGGAATTTTATAATTTAAACTTTCCCTACCTCAAAATAATTAGCCAAACAAGGCCTTAGCAAGCCCTAGCCTTGAAATCTTCAAAACCTTAGCAATATGGATGCCAAATGGAAGCTCTCCCCAAGCTCATCAACTTCCTCTCTATGGCATCACCAAAAACACCTTCTAATCTCCCCAAATCCAAGGTTGAAACATATGTGAGATATATGAAATATAGATATGGAATATAGAGAGAGGAAAAAGAAAACTAGAGAAAGAGGAGGAGGGGGTTCTCGGCCAAAATGAAGAGGAAGGGGAAATTGGGTTGATTTTTCACTTTGCTTCCAAGGCCAATAATGTGCCACTTGTCCAATTCTTGCGGACTACTAGATTTGGGTAAAGTTACCTCCTTACCCTTGGTCTTCCATAGAAATGACACATCTACCCCCAAAATATCTTCTCAAGGAATACATATAAATACACACACACACATGTGAAATGCCAATAATGCCCCTTACTTAAAATGAGAAAACCGGAAGAAGTTCCCGAGTCCGGAAATCGTCCCAACTTTCGAAAAATTCTAAAAATGACATCGTCACTTCTAATTGACTTAAAATGATTAAAATACACTTCTAAAACCCTCGGCTCAGGAAAATGACCCAAATGCCCCTCAGGGCCCGCATGGCACGCAAAACGAGATAATGATTAAAATAATCCAGAAAAATTAAATAAATTCTCGAATAAGAAAGTAGGGAAAATCGGTAACATTACACACTCTTTCTAGGCAATGTACGCATCTAAACAAGAAAACTTTATACCATAAGTTTAACATCACCACCTCCCCTTTTCACCGTTCCTCAGAACACCCTTAGCCCCGACAAAAGTCGAATGGGGCTAACAACTAAACCTACAAGATTAACTTCATCCCAATTATCCTTATCATCAGTCTACCTCTTCGGATCCTCAAACAACTAGCATTTCAATGACCCCATACTACCTGCCTTATCGTGCAACCCTACACTATACAGCTAAAACTGACCACTATACCTCACCTAGAGACTCTCTCAACAATCGTAATAACCTATAACCCTGCTCATCTATCGTGCTATGTAATCAACTCACCGAGAGTCTCGCTCCTGTAGTTTTCCAAAATGAGGATCACTCTTCAACAAACCAGACTCTTACAAGACCACGAAATGATCCACATCCTGCAATCGGACATCCGGCACTGGCATGACTCTAGTCAATGCCTACGTCACCCTAGACCTATAGATTCCAACAATCCCCTTAACAACTATGACCAACATGATTCTTTAAATTGTACCAGAATACTCAAAATACACGTCTACAACCCATAGACTACACTCGTGACTCAAGCAATCCCCTATAAGACCCACCAAAAACTGGTTCAAAAAGAACCTCGGCACCAAACCGTGACCCAAGTCACAAACACAAACCACCTAAGGTCACACCTTTCTCCCACGAAACCCTTACTCCATACACCTAACTCTTCTGGTCATAAAACCCATGTACTAACATATGAAACTCATATACCACATAGACACCGTGCCAAGACATACGAACCCTCTCTAAAGTCGTGCTCTAAGCACTGCACAAAATGCAACAAAAAGATCAGAATGATCATATACCAAATAGCTCGATCCACAAGCTAGAAGTCCGCGCTATTCGTTCGATAAGAACCAGTACCCCAAACAACCCTAGAGCAACCGAGCTACTCGCCTACTTAGGTCAAAACCCACACAACCATCTATGGTCAACCCCATACTCCTATACATGTATACATATATATATATATATATATATATATATATATATATATATATATAATAACCGTATCCCATACTATGATACAATCGTGTCCTATCATTTAATTTATTTTTTTTTAACACTCCGTCTTTCAATTAAAAAAAAATACTTGCATAATCATACCTAATAACCGTCACAATACCATACGAGACATGCTTGCACCTACTGTGCTCACTACTTGCCACATTATCATTTAAAATAAATTGCACACACCGTGCCTACTACTTGCCATTACCACTTAAATCACACTTGTCATCTTATCATAATTAATATGTTTTCAATTATTTATATATTTTATCGTCATGACCATATAACACACATTTTAGCAATTAAACACGTAAGCATATGAACACTTAGCAAATAAGCATGCCTTTTAAAATCGTAAACACATAAGCAATTAAGCAAGTAAGCATGTTTCTCAGATAACAAACACTTTAACACATAAACACATAAACAATGCAATCCACCTTCTACATAACCCTAGGTAGGCCTCTACTCGTCGTCCTACTGGTTTTCGAACCTTCGCTCTGATACCAAATATGTAACGACCCAAGAAGATACCAAATAATACTAATAAAATATATAAAATTTCAGCATAACCTCCACGGAAAAAAGTCGCTCTACAACCTGTTGAAATATATAAAAATACAATGGCCTCACTCGGCACACAATACAATTATTATATCACATTCCCAAAATGATTACATTCACCGTGGAGATACTTTGAAAAATGGTAAAATTTAGAAACATTACAACACCCAAAGAGTAAACATCAGATTTTTTCGTAAATCGAGAGGTATGAAGATACTTTGGATCGAGATAGCGAAGTTCTTCGCAAAGCATTGTGGTGATGAAATCGCGCTCCCCTGGAACCAATAAGGATAAATTGAAATCTAAAATCTTTGCAATGCAATTTTGATCCAAGATAATATTGTGCGGCTTTAGGTCAACATGAATAATTGTCTTCCGCTCCACACCTGTATGAAGATTGTTCAGTCCTTGAGCGACACCAATGCAGATTTGGAGCCTCTGCTTCCATGAGAGAGGTTTATTATTATAGTTGCTATTGCGAAGATGATCAAATAGGTTCCCAGGCCATGTATTCATGCACCAGGATCATCTCATGCCCATCATAGCAGTACCCAATTAAGGACACCACATTGATACATTGAAGCTGAGACTGCACCTCCAAAACCAACTATAAGAATAACTTCTCTCGAACCGTTTGATAGCAACCTTCGTCTATTTTTCAATATAACCCGCATAAACCTTACTATGATAACTTTTTCTAATTATAAGGTGATCATTAAAATTGTTGGTGGAGGCTTGAATTTCTGCTAGTGAAAAGCGACAACACTGTGCTTCTGGCAGTGGGTAAGCCTATCTTTGAAGATCTCGATCTATGCAAAAACAATCCCCACAACCGCCACCCCAACCACGGTCCCTGATTAAAACCATCATCTTTCTTTCTCCAAAGTTCCATATTTTTCTTTTTTCCAGGTGAAATACTCTCTAACACCCTGCTTTCATTTATTCCTTCCAAAGGAGGTATACTGTAATGGCGAGACACAGAAGGAGAATCCTTTGATATAATACTCCATTTAACGCTTTCGTTAAAAGCTCCACCAACATGGATAACCTCTTGCTCTGTATAAGAGTCACCTCTCCCCTGCAACTCCAATGTAAATAATTCGAGTCTCGCCGTTATTTCAGCCATTAGAGGCCATTCATTCGGTTGATCATGCAGGCATTTATTGGCAATTTCTGCAAACCCTCTTAAACAATGAGGTGAGATTTGATCCTTCACACTGGGATCAACAAGCTGATCAATAGTTCCTTTTTGAATGCATTTTCGGACCCATAGGGCTAGACTATGCTGCTCCTCTTCAAGTGTTATATCCACAGCCTGCCTCCCACACAACACTTCGAACAATACCACACCATACGCATATACATCTGATCCCTTAGTCAATCTTCGAGTCATGAAATACTTTGGATCCAGGTACCCGAATGTGCCTTCAACATTGGTGCTAATGTTGGTACATGATACATTTGAAGTGTCCATTTTGGAAAACCCAAAATCAGAAATCTTAGCCACCCAATTTTCATCCAACAAAATGTTTGAGCTCTTCGCATCATGATGTATGATTCCATGATGAGCACCTCTACTAGTATGTAGGAAGTCTAACCCACGTGCAACACCAATACATATATTGAGTCGTCGTTCCCAAGAAAGAGGAGAATTACAACTACCATTTCTACTAGCTTTATAGAGATGGTCAGCAAGGGTCCTATGGGCCATGTACTCATAGATCAGGATCATCTCTTGGCAATCATCACAATAATCAATCAAGGAAACGAGATGATTGTGCCGAAGCTTGGAAAGGGCATCAATCTCAGCCCAAAACTCGTGAGCCCCTTGTTTGGATTTTGAATTCAACCGCTTTATGGCAACACACTTGGTCTTGTCGATGAGCCCTTTGTACACATTACCAAATCCACCTTTACCGATGACTAGTCCATCATCAAAGTAGTTGGTGGCCAACTGGATCTCAACAAGTGAGAAATGTCTGTGCAACTCCTCATACAATGATGATGAGATATTTTATTTTGCCAGAGTTTGATTCCGAACAATTTAAATGGTGAACAATGAAATTCAATAGAGTAAGCAAAAGAATAATACCTGTTGCAATCATATTTATATTGCCAAAAGCTAAAACCAATTTTTGGAGCCTTGGAGTCCTTGATAAATGAGCATGTGCTGTGAAAACAGGATTCACACCAGCTCGATTGTTGTCCGGATTACTCAACTTAAATATCTCTACACCTTTTAGGACTGCATCAATGTTTTCGGTATTTGACTTATACTGGAGCAGCAAAGCAATGATTAGATCATGCTTGCCCTCCATCTGATCACCTTCCATCATGGCAACATAGTCCTTGTATACTGCAACCCCATTCCCACCACTCCATCTGATCACGTTTGCATGAGTCTCAACGATCTTATTATTTATTAGTAGATCAAACTGTTTTTGACTGCTCGTTCAAGCTCACAAAAATGGAGCCCAACCAGATATCTGAATCCCAAATCAACTGGTAATTTCCATGTGAAGTTGTACACTTGGTTCATTTGTTGGTTTGAACCTATTGCCCAAGCTGATTGATAAACTTTAAATGGTGCAGAATATGTGGGTATTTTTGTGTATGTGGTCATATTGGTGCTACTGACTTGTAAAAGACTTGATTGTAACGAGTAATTCTTGTCGTCGGACCACATTCGAAACATGCCCAAATCTTCTACAGACAAAATGGATCTCCCTCAAACATTTAAGCGGTAAACCATCTCTAGTGCAGTGTCGTTATCAATATAGTATCGGAAAATTTTTTTGCCAACAACATGGGGGCCCAAATCACCATCGGGAGTGTAATAAAGTCCGGCAGGCATGGAGACGATCTCAATACCATTGATAAAAGCATAAACATCATCACTTACACTATGTTTAGATGGAGCAAATGTTATGCTAAGTACTTGATTTTTTTCAATGTTCACACAAAATTCTTTTGCAAAATATCTTACACCCAAAACATCAGCCGTAAGGGAAGCACTGAAATTGTGAAGGAGGGTGTACGAACCTGCTTTAACCGTGAAAATGGCCTTAGATCTTTCAAAACCATGGTATGAAGTTGGAAAGAAGTGCAGTCGAATGAATTTTTGACCAGGCTTGAGTTGAAATGTATAGGTGAATTGAGTATGAGAGATCCGAGCGGTCATGTAGGGAACTGGATCGACAAAAAATGGTTGGACAGTTGATGAGCTAATTGATTTGCCTTTTGCTTCTTTTGATGAAGCAAATTTCGAGCCCATATCTTCGATCCATTCCCGGCCATCAAAAGCAGATGAATTACTAGTAGAACCGCAATTAATGGCAATGTCACCTACGGGATAATATTGGACGGAGACAGATGAGACACTCGCACCGGTAAATACAAGATGGTGCAGGAGAAAGACGGTAGTGATGATTCTAAGATGAGAAAGGTACATGATTTTTTTAGTGCTCTGGGCAGAATCAAAGAGACTCTAGTTCACAAGGCTAAGGGGTAGGAGAGAGAGAGAGAGAGAGTACGCGATGTAGATCTGCTTGGAAAAGAAGATTGAGAAGACTTTTACAAGTCTTTGTGACAGATTTTTCCACAAAAAAGTAGCAACGTAGAAAAGTTTATTCTTTCACATCAATGACAAACTTCATTGCACATGCAGATGCCTTGTTTGGGGCAGAAAGTTTTTAGATTAGGCAATTGACCGCTATATTGTCATAGGAAGTTTCTTTGTTAATGTATTTTAGATTGCCTTTGGCGCTTTCTTATTATTAATTTCACGACATCTGCATCAATATGTTTTGACTAGAATGATGAAAATGTGATAAGTTTATTATTTCCATGAAATAGTACAGAAGCTACCAATGGGTGCTTAGCGGTATTAGCCTCTTACTTCTCAAAGGGAGGACAGGAGTTCAAATCTCAGTCAAGACGTGTGTGTAAGTACCAACTAGAAAAAAAAAATTAGTACATACGCTATGCTCACTCAATTAACTTGGCTGCATGTGTCAAGCCAACAAGTTTTTCTAGATAATCATACTTGAGAAAGATTTGGACAGGTTTAGATATTAAACAAGTGGACCTCCTTGCCTCTTGCTTCTCTCTTTCACTTCCTTCCAGGTAGGTCCTTCTTGCTTGGGCCAATGCCTACTAGTCTTTTGGCATCATTATGGAACTTTATTACTCCACATTATATATACTAATATATAGACTACTTGCTTTGGAAATTAGGACCCCTTTGATTGTCTCTTTTTTGCAGAAGACGTTTGATATTAAGCTGTTGACTGACCACTACCCCATGGTATACTACGGTTTCTGTATATTCTTAGATTACCAAGTCCTAAATCATCATTAATCCACTTCTGACCTAGTATAAGTACACATTCATCTATCAGAAGTTTCACCATCCTTAATTATTTTGTGGTCACGAGTAAACAAACTAACTAGGTAAATAAACACTTATAACGCTCTTGAGGAGACTTCAACTCTTCACCTTTCATTTTGAAAGGAAATAAAATACACTAAGTCACATATGGATTCTTTAGATATATATATATTCATGTGCATCCAAGTGATCTCTTTTTTTCTTTTCCATCCAATTTATTTGGTTGGTCCACAAAAGTTGCATATAAAATATGGTGTTAAGATCTATAAATTGACTAAACGATTGACCGAAAAATTTTCAAAAAATTTTATTTACTGAAACCAGAAATCTTAATGATTATAGATATTATGACTAAATGGAGTCAGAACTCAGACGCCAAGTGCAGGTGACAAGATGGGATGTTTGTATAAGGAGTAAAGGTTTGGGAGTCTGAGTGATAGCTAAAATCAAATTCTCTATCTATGGGGACTTTTGGAAAACCTCAGGATGAGGTGTTAATTTACCCTTCAACTTAAGTGCTTGATATTCTCCAATTTTTCCCTCAGGGCATAATTTGAAAGATGTCTTTTGTTGCATTTTGCTTATTGTATAGCTAATTCTTTTGAATGACAAAAAAATTAGTCTAATATATTGTCATGTGATCACTTGAAAGCCTTGGTCAAAGTATTATACCAGTTGCCTTATTTAAACATGAAAACAAAGAAATAATAATAACAATAATAAAGATAAAAGACGCATAAGTAAGTGGATTTAATATCAAGATTGTACATACCTGTGCACTACGTAGGCTAAAGAACGCACAATAATGAGGACTTCATGCACATTGTATCTTTGAGGCATTTTTCCAAACAAGATGTGTGCATGTACTCTACAAATTAATATAGCTTTGCTAAACATTTGTATAATCGATTTTTCTCTCTATTTAGTCTCTCCACAACCAATTAACCCAAACTCTATATTTTTTCAAACTGAAATCTTCCCAAATTGAAACATGAGCTAAAATGTAGTACTATTTGAGTATGAGACTGAATTCTATCATCCTCTTGGTTCTTTAAACTGTGTATAGCTGTTGAATATAATGATCTCAATGTCAATACCTTTGGGTTAATTGGTTGAGGAGGACACTAAAATCCAATTCCCTTCAAATCCATTCGTTCCAAACACTGCCTAAATAGGATACTGGAAATGCTTTCTTGAACCCATTCTCCATTACATTGTAGGAACAAAACAGGGAGCGGAGAGGTTCCAACCCATGGTGGGTACGTGCCCTAAAACTCATTAACACAAACATTCGAATCCATAGTGCGTACGTGCCCTAAACTCATTAACACAAACATATACAGAACTAAATATGTAAGAGCCATATTTTAACATTCACCATTAAACCTTACCAAAAAAATAAATAAATCCACCTGTTTGGATACACAGAGTCTACAGAGAGTATAGAAATAAAATGATAGTATTAATTAAGGGAGAAATAAAAAGAAAATAAAAGAAAAATACATGATATCAATAATCTCAATTTATGTTTGGATAGATAGGAAAGAGAAAAAAATAAAAATGATAGTATTTTTTGTTTGGATATAATAGAGGGAAGAAAAAAGATAATAATTAAATTACTATCATATCCTTCTAAATGGAATATCATTGGAATAATAATTTCTTTTTTCTAATTGTTGAAAGTAATTTCAGAATTATAAAAAAAATACTTAAGCACTATCATTTCTTTCTCTATCTTATCATTTGTAAAATGATAGAAAATGAGGAATAAGGAAGAATACTTATTATTTCCTAGTTACTCCATATCCTTTCTTTTCTCACATTTTTAACCAACCAAACACACCCCAAATCCCCTTTCTTTTCTTTTCTTTTCTCTTTCTATCCCTCCAAATCCCCTTTCTTTTCTCACATTTTTAACCAACCAAACACACTCTCACTATCCTTTCTTTTTTTTTCTTTTCTCGTCTCTTCCTATCCCTCCAAATCTATCATATCCAAACGTACATAAGGATGGAGATGAAGAAAGAAAGAGATTTTTCGTAAGTTAACATCCACCGTTTAGGCTCTGTTTGTTTCAAAGTAAAATATTCTTTTTTGAAATTATTTGTCTTTTTTAAGTAAAATATTCTTTTATTTTTACTTTGTTGGTATTTGATAAAGGTTTACGTCGAGGTTGAGGTCGAGTCCATTGAGCAGGACATGTTAAATTTTAATATATATTTTTTCGTAAATATTTTACGACAACCAAATACCCGAAATTTTTTCCAAACAAACGGATTCAAAAATAAATTAATTAATAAATAAAATTCACTTATTTATAAACTTTGTTATATGTCTAAAAGGAATTCAACGGAACTGGAGGAGGGTGGAGAGAGAAAGAATTAGAGATATTTTTCATATTTTAATATTCACCATTAGGTTCCCTAATTATAAACTTTGAAGTTGTAACAACTTTTTCTGCTATAAATATATAATTAAAAGTAAAATAAAAACAAAAACAACAATAAAGTCTAATTAAATAATATTTTTATTTTTAGTAAAATATATCTGTTAGCACAAATGTAATTTATAGGATTACCATCATATACACTACACACCAATACCCCATCTATTCCAATGTAATTAAAATCATTTTCAAGATACAAGGCACATGTATGCTGAGGAAATTAACATAAAAGTTTCTCGGAGCTCTGATACTCGAAGTAGCCTACAAGAAGACAAGTTATTCAGCGTGGACCAGAGAGATCCTCGGATCGCAAATGTGTTGAGGAGTCATAACTGTTGTACTCAGGATGCCACTCTGATGAGAATAACTCGTGTGAAATATAGTTGGTTGCGTCTACTCGTCCCTGTAATAAAAATGTAAAAAATACTTGGTAGAATATTTTAAAATGTATGTAAATTGCAAAATGCTACCTGTAGTTGAGGGAGATACATAATTAAGAAATTCAATAAAAACATTGGTTAAATTGTCAGAAACTGTTAGCATTTCTCCAAAGCAATTAAATTTATGAAATTCTTATTATAAGGTTTAAACCAATATTGTAGAATCAACTGTCTTTAGTATTAGTGTAGTGACAAATAAAATAAAAGTAAAATATTTAGGGAGTGGTATTAGGAACCCGGAAGGATTCTGAATTTCAGATGACGAAGTAGTTGGATTATCCAAGTTTGGTGTCAACAATGGTTAATGGAACATTCGTTCTGATCAGGTTTGTCACTAAACATTGGCAATCCTCAAGGACTGCTGAGTCGAGAATCCGGTGATGACATGAGTGACTGTGGTAACAATATTAGTTTATATCAATTTACTTGATGGTATGACAACATGACAAGCGCATACATGCTCCCAATCCATACAATACATTGTTACAGCAATTTTATCAAACTGTGTGGTGAACAATATATAGTTTTTAGTGGATTAAATTATAAACCATCTCCCCCATCGCATTTGGACTTGGGTATTGGGTCCATGAATTCAACAACCTACCTGTCATTGTTCAGTTTAAAATACAATAAAATAAAAGGTGCATTGTCCGTCCTAATGTTACCTATACTAATAAATACTAATATTGGCATTGATTGTTCATCAATTCCAATCCAAATATCTATAATATAAATTAGATTGTTGTTAGGATTTTGACATACATGTAGATATAGAATTAAAGTGAATGTATTGATCGTTACCTATAATTCAATTAAGATTTTGTATAAAAGTATAATTTCTTCTATTCTCTTTGAGAAACAGAGGATTTTTGATTGGGTGAGTTCAAAGAAAAAGAATGATATTCTGGTCTACCTTACCTTCATTTTTTTTTTTTTTAATACCAATAAGTCAATCAAAATGCAATTATCTCCAACAACAAAAATGTCTGTTATTAAGCAATATTTTAAGTTTGATCTGTATCCGTCTTAATTCCGCCTTAATTCTGCCCTTTATTCGAGTAAGTTTTTTCATTGCCAAATTGCCCGAGGCCTATGCTTTTGCCGGTCATACTTGTGCTCTTCTAAACATTCATACATTGTTTAGGTTTAAAAAATAGAGAGAGAGAATAGTTGATTACCTTATTCTCCAATGCAGCAACAAAAGTTTCCTGCAGCGCCAGAGCATGCTCGAGTTTGCGCACAATATCAGTCATTAGAGGGCGTATGATTCCGTCCTTAAGCACGCATTGCCTGGCAATTTCCACAAACACGTCCAAAGAAAGAGGCAATATCTTCCCCGTCCGTGATGGATCAATGATCTGTTCAACTGACCCTGCTTCTATGCACTCTATGGCCCACGTGCTTAGAAGCTTACGCGCAATCCCGACTTCAAATACTGCTTTCCTAGCCCACAACACTTCAAACAACACCACGCCGAAAGAGTAAACATCAGATTTTTCCGTAAATCGACAAGTTTCCCAATACTCTGGATCCATATAGCCAACTGTACCCACACATTCTGTGAAGATGAATGAGGCATCCTCGGGAACCAACAAGGATACGTCAAAACCTGAAATTTTTGCAACCCAATTTTGATCCAAGAGAATGTGAGCAGACTTCACATCACGATGGAAAATTCTCTGCCTCACACCTGTATGAAGGTAGTTCAATCCTCGTGCCACACCGATGCAGATTTGGAGCCTCTGCTCCCATGACAGAGGAATTATATTCCTGGTATTGTGAAGACGATCGAATAAGCTCCCATTGGCTATGTATTCGTGCACCTGGATCATCTCATGCCCATCATAGCAGTACCCCACCAAGGACACCACATTGATGCATTGAAGTTGGGATTGCACCTCCAACATCGTGCAAAAATTATCATAGAAATGATCATTGGCCATGAAACATTCGATAGCAACCTTCCCCATGTTTTCTATTTAACGCTCGTAAACCTTCCCCATTTTTATTCGGAGGCGATCATTGAAATTGTCTGTGGCGGTTCCAATCTCTGCCAATGAGAAACGATGACAATGTACTTGTGGCAGCCGATAACCTTTTCTCTTTGAGGGTCTCTTTCTACGCCAAAGCGGAGCCCCACAACCGCGACCCCCATGATGGTCCATTATTCCTTCTAGGAGAAATTCTATCCACCAACATGATATCATTTGTTACCTCCATAGGAGTTACACTGTAATGCTCAGAAATTGGGGGGAGAATCCTCCGAGGTAATACTCCATTCAGTTTGCTCGTGCTCATTCCCACCAACACTGTTAACCTCTTGCTCCATATAAGAGTCGGTCCTTCCCTGAAAGTCCAATGTAATTAATTCAAGTCCCGCCACTATTTCAGCCATTGTAGGCCGTTCATTCGGTTGATCATGCAAGCATTTGTTTGCAATTTCGGCAAACCCCTTTAAACAATGAAGTGAGGTTTGCTCCTTCACACTGGGATCAACGTGCTGATCAAGTGTTCCCATTCGGATGCATTTTTGGGCCCATAGAGCTAAACTCCGCTGCTCCTCCTCAAGTGTTAAATCAACAGCCCGCCTCCCGTACAGCACTTCAAACAGTACCACACCAAATGCGTAAACATCTGATTTCTTAGTCAGTCTTCGAGTCATAAAATACTCTGGATCTAGATACCCAAATGTACCTTTAACATTAGTGCTAATGTGCGTGCACGATACATTCGCAGTGTCCATCTTGGACAACCCAAAATCAGAAATTTTAGCTACCCAATTTTCATCCAACAAAATGTTTGAGCTCTTCACATCGCGGTGTATGATACCGTGGTGGACACAGCTACTCGTATGCAGGAACTCCAACCCACGTGCAGCACCAACACAGATGTTTAGTCGTTGTTTCCAGGAAAGAGGATAGTTACCACTACCATTTATACTAGCCTTGTGGAGATGGTCAGCAAGGGTCCCATGGACCATGTACTCATAGACCAGGATCATCTCCTGACAATCATCGCAATAACCAATTAGAGAGACGAGATGATTGTGCCGAAGCATAGAAAGGGCATTGATCTCAGCCCAAAACTCGTGAGCCCCTTGTTTGGATTGCGAATTCAAACGCTTTATGGCCACACACCTTGTCCTGTCAATGAGCCCTTTATACACGTTACCAAATCCACTTTACCAATGACTAGTCCATCATCAAAGTTGTTGGTGGCCAACTGGATCTCAACAAGTGAGAAGCGTCCGTGCAACTCCTCCGCTTCCAATGACGACGAGCTCTTTATTTTGCTAGAGTTTGATTCTAACCAATTTAAATGGTAAACAATGAAATTCAATAAAGTGAGTACAAGAAATATACCCGTTGCAATCGTATTTTTGTTGCCAAAAGCTGAAAATAATTTTCGGAGTCTTGGAGTCCTACATGTAGGAGCATATTGTCACGGGTCTAGAGATTTGGCGCAGCGGCACGGCCCGTGCGGCACCAAGGCGTTGCTTCAGCTCGCGCAAGCGCCCTGGTCAGCCACCACGACCTGCCCTCCCAAGGATACATGCTGACTGGTTTCGGCCAGCCATGGCCTCGTCAGGGGAACGGCTCCAGCTCCCGACCAGTTTGTGCAGGGATGGCCAACTCCCTTCTTCATAGTCAAGTCCAAGACTAGCGACAAGCACATCGAACTGAACCGAGTCGACCTGCCTGAACTCTGAAGAGGTACCATCCTGTGGTCCTGCACGCCCCTTCCCTGGAACCATTCCCAGTCAATGAATGTTCTTAGCCAACCAGCATGCGTATCTTCTATGCTCATGGCGTCGTTAGGAATCGGATCGTGACATTCTCCCCCACCCAAATCCTGCGACGCCCTCGTCGCAGTGCGGCGCTGACTCCGCTGCGTCCAACATTCCAAAGCCTGTCTCCTCCAAGTGGTATGCTCGCCTGCCCACCATCGCTTCCTTGTACAACCCCTGGCTGCACTCGCCCAATGATAGGGTTTCGGGCTAAAGGGACGCCCACTTCTTCGGGACGCAACCCCACGTTATGCCGCCTCCGCGACACCCCGAGCAAACAAGCGCCCTCCGGCTGACTTGATACCCGCCCTTCACAACGGTTTGCACGCCTCTTGAACTTGCAAGAACTTTGGTGCGCGCGGCCCTCCGGCCATCCGATGCGCGCGGCCCTCCGGCTTAAAGGACGCATCTTCATGGGGAGATGGAGGCTCTCCTCCAACAGCATTGATTACCCACCGACGCTTTTTCAGTGCACCGTCTTCATTCTCAAGAACCCCGGATCGACAAGAGGGCACACCTCTGTGCTTTTCCCCAAGTCCTGCTCTGATACCATTTGTCACGGGCCTAGAGATTTGGCGCAGCGGCACGGCCCGTGCGGCACCAAGGCGTTGCTTCAGCTCGCGCAAGCGCCCTGGTCAGCCACCACGACCTGCCCTCCCAAGGATACATGCTGACTGGTTTCGGCCTGCCATGGCCTCGTCAGGGGAACAGCTCCAGCTCCCGACCAGTTTGTGCAGGGATGGCCAACTCCCTTCTTCATAGTCAAGTCCAAGACTAGCGACAAGCACCTCGAACTGAACCGAGTCGACCTGCCTGAACTCTGAAGAGGTACCATCCTGTGGTCCTGCACGCCCCTTCCCTGGAACCATTCCCAGTCAATGAATGTTCTTAGCCAACCAGCATGCGTATCTTCTATGCTCATGGCGTCGTTAGGAATCGGATCGTGACAATATGCTGTGAAAACAGGATTCACACCGGCGAGACCATTGTCGGGGTTGCTCAACTTAAATATCTCTATACCTTTGAGGATGGCATAAACTTTTTTAGTGCTCGACTCATACTTCAGCTGCAAAGTTATGACTAGATCACGTCTGCACTCCATCCGATCTCCTTCCATCATGACCACGTAGTCCTTGTATGCTGCAACCCCATATCCACCGCTCACATCAGCATCAATCTCAATAAACTTATTGTTTATTAGGAGATTAAACTTTTTTTGCCCGCTCTTAGTGATGATGGATTCAAGCTCACAAAAATGAAGCCTAACTAAATATCTGAATCCCAAATCTACTGGTAATTTCCATGTGAAGTTGTAAACTTGGTTTGTTTGTTGGTTCAAATCAATTGACCATGCAGTTTGATAAACTTTAAGCGGTGCAGAATATATGGGTATGTTTGTGTATGTGATCATATTTCTTGTACTGACTTGTAAAAAACTTGATTGTAACAAGTACTTTTTGTCCTCATACCACATACGAAACATGCCCAAATCTTCTACTGCTAAAATGAATTTCCCACCAACATTTAACCGGTAAACCATCTCTAATGCAGTGTCATTATCAATATGGTATCGAAAAAACTTATTGCCAACGACATGAGCGCCCAAATCACCATCTGGAGTGTAATAAAGACCGGCAGGCATGGAAACGATCTCAATTCCGTTTATAAAAGCATAAACATTATCACCATAAGACGAAGTACTTTTAAACGGAAAGAATGTTATGTTGAAGACTTGACTTTCTTTGATGTTCAAACAGAATTCTTTTGCAAAATAACTTACACCCAAAGCATCAGCAGTAAGAGAAGTGCTGACATTGCTGAGAAGGGGTATAAGGACCGGCTTTAACAGTAAAAAGGGCCTTAGATCTTTCAAATCCAGGGTATGAAGTTGGATAGAAGTGCAATCGGATGAATTTCTGACCTGGTCTGAGCTGAAATGTATAGGTGAATGGAGCACGAGAGATCCAAGCGGTCCAAGCGGTCATGTAGGGAACAGGATCGGCAAAAGGTGATTGGTGGACCGTTGTTGATGAGCTTATTGATTTGCCTTCTGCTTCTTTCGGTGAAATAAATGTTGAACCCATATTTCCGACCCATTCGCGGCCATCAAAAGCAGATGAACTTCCAGAGGATCCGCAGTTAACGGCAATGTCATCTACCGGATAATATTGGACAGGCGAGTCATTCGCGCCGGTAAACGCAAGAAGGTGGAAGAGATAGACACCGGTGATGATTCTAAGATGAGAACGGTACATGGTTTTTTTTTTTTCTTTTTTTTTTTTTGCTTTTTTGTTGCTCTGGGTAAAATCGAAGAGACTACTTCCCACTGCCAAGGGAAGGAGAGGAATAGAGAGTATTATTTGGGCCAAATTAAGAAGACTTTACGAGTCTTTGGCAGACTTTTCCACCAAATTAAAAAGGAGTTTAGAAAAGAGTATTATTTGATATCACTGTCACACGACTCACACTTCGTTGACCGACTGCAATTTTCATGGAAGTTGCTCTGTGTTTATATATAAAATATATGTTGTACATTATCTATCTAGAAAGATAAAAATGTGATAAGTTCGTTAATTCCATGACATAAATTTTGTTTCGGTAAATTTCAGTTCCATGAGATAATTGATTTAAGTCATTGTAGTTAGTCAGAGTTGGAGAAAGTTTTTTTTTGTTTTACTTTTTTAACTCCAATAAATTTTGAAATTAGAGCTGTGCCACATAATAAATTTAAAAAATATATATTTGCAAATTTACCGGCCAATGTCTCAAAATGTGTTTCAATCGTATTTAGTTGTGTCCTATGTGTCAATCCAAAAAAAATAATTGAACTTGTAACAATTTATTTAGTTATGCCCTCTGTATCAATCCAAAAGAAATAATTGAACTTGTAGCAAAATTGCTTCTTAATCATCAATTTCACTTTCCGCGTCATGTACGTGTTTTCTATACAAAAACTAATGAAAAAGAGGACGAGAGCACTAGACGCCTTAACATGTGTAGTAGCGTCCGCACGAGGAGAAAATGGTTTCAATTTCTATTCATGAGTGAATTGTTCAAAAAGATTCCCTTAAAATATATAGTATATACGTAAACCAGAGCAATGATATGAGCATCCGAGCCCCATTTTCCAAACACCTTCATTGTTTCAACGATCACACCATTCCCTCGATGAGGCTTGAACCTCATAGCACGCCTCCGTAAAAAGACCAAAATACTCCTGGGTCAGTCTTGAGCCAAACAAGTGTCCTGTAGCTTTAACAAGAGAAGGGGTTTGGTTAGAGGCTTAGAGCCAATAAGGCTGTTCGACTAAGATCGGTCTTGGACCCTTTATTGTTGGAGCCAAGGGATCGCCATTTTTGTGTGTGGACCATCAAAAGCGGCATACAGATGAGCACTGCAACCCCTAGAAAAAAGGTGGGAGAGATGATGACTCGGGGGGGAAAGAA